ATAGCAGGCACTGTTAAACATTTCTGCCTCTTTTTTTTCATACAACGAATGAATTCCAATCATGACCACTGTTCGGGTCGAACGTGGGAAAGTCCTGCCTGATGAGGTCGATGATCAACTGATGCGGTAATTGCCGAGGCAAAAGGTCAACTATGTAGCAGATTCCAACGTCTATCAACACCTTAATAAGAAACAGCTTTGAAATCACTGTACTGTCAATCATGGGCTAAAAAGTTGGATCTCAAATTTTTTTCCCCGGCCCTGCAGCCTAATCGGCCTCTGGTAGCCGGTTTGAATGCCGGTGCCCCCTTGGTCTATCTACTGAGAGACTAGTAAAATGCACGTAATTATTGGACAGTATATTGCCCGTACAGTACACACGAAACCCATGACAGTTCTCATTTCAAACACCAACGGAGCAACTAGGCCCACTCCCCGCATCCGGGCATCTGGAACCGTGTCCGCATGTCCTGCAACCGTTGTACTGGACCGCTGTGACGGTACAGGGCTGTCGCGGGGTGAAACAAATTGGACGATAGATTGAGGCCGTGAGGGCCGCCAGGGCTGTGTCATCCGTTCTTGTGTTGGGATTGTCCAGCTCTTACCCTGCCAGTGGGCAGCTCGGTAGGGCGCTGTTTATAATTCGTCGGGTATATATTAACGGTTTATAAATTTTGGTTTATAAACAGGGCGTTTATAAACCGGTTTATAAACACCAGGTCCCAAATCGGCTAAAAACGAGTGATTCCACCTCTCCTGCTCACGTAAGGTCCCCAGCTGCTCTTCTACTATCCTCCGCACCGGCTGCTGCCCGCCCTGACCAGTCTGAAATACTTCCGATCTCGTTTGCGCCCGCGACCGGCTTATCCGAGAGCACATCACGGAAAAGGGGCATCGTGATGTCCACGCCGTCGCGTTGGAAGTCGATTGTCATATCGTGCGGAAGAGGTTTTACCTGGATCCAGAAAAAACCCCTATAAATACATATCACCGCTTGGTCCATCTATCATTTCTTTATATTTAAAAACCGGTACTTTGGACCCGACGATATATAAACCGGTTTATAAACCGGTGTTTAAAACAATGTTTACAAACCGGACTAATAAACAGCGCCCTACAGCTCGGAACACGATGAGAATGGTAGATATTATCTGCGTGTGAAGTCAGTTGTTACAGTTTAACGCGCGCTTGTATGATCCGCACCTGGACTTGGCTAGGACGCCTCGGCTCTGGACCCAAACCCTCCCCTTTGTCTCCCTCACTACCGTGCGTCGGCCCACCCACCTCCAGATCCTGGAGGACTGGGAACGGCTCTGGTCGGCATTGAAGGTGGGCAGAGCACTCCGCGCTGTCGACCGCCTCCCCCCGCGCCTCGTCCTTTCTCCCCTCTGCTCTTCCACGGCTATATCGCGCCACGCCATTTCCACTGTCTAGCAACTCCGCGCTGACTTTTCCTTCCTTAACGCCACCCGCGTCCGATCTGGCTTTATTGCCTCCGATGCGTGCAACGCCTGCGGTGCCCCCTTTGACACCCGCGCTCATTACCTCGCATTCCCGGCCTGGGATCGCCTCCGCCCCCCGTTATTCCGCGCGTCAATGGCGGCGGGATCCTTCTTCGGCTCCCTCTATCTCCCGACCCTGCTCAACGACACCCTCCTGAAGTCGTTGGCGAAGTTCATAGAGGCCACGGGCCGCTTCGCGGACTTGTAAGCCCCTCCTCTCTCCTTTTCCTTCCTCCGTCAATAGCTTAGGTTCATACTATACTTTACCTACTTATAATCTCTCTCATATGACTTCATATTCTATATCCTCTTCTCCGATTTTATTCCTGCACACGGTCTCTCACTATACACCTCCTACATGCTTCTCCCCCCCAACCCACCCATGAACCTTACCACCTTGCATTCGTTCCCCCCAGCCTATATTTTCCACTTACGTCTCTACTTCCACCTCTCGATCTCTCCCTCTTAAAAAATTATCGTACTCCCCCTCCCCCGCTATCCCCTTATCCCAAACCGATCTGCTGTCTTAATCGTATTAGATCATGTACCGTAACTTAATTGAAATCATCAATAAGATTAAATTTGGCCCGCTTGCGCTGAAGAGACAACTAATATTGAATACTTGGAGCGGCCTACCACAGCCTACTACACGCCAAGATGATTTGTGGTTCCTAGCAGGCCATCAACAATTTTCAACTCCGACTGACCTATCGGAAGACACTCCGGCATCATAGACCGCTCTGGATGCTGGCAACCAGGCTTTTTTCAGCGGGAACCACTGGTCAGGTAGATCACTGACTTCCGGCTTTCAGCCGTCTGTACGTGTAATGGATGAGGACTCACTGCCAGATGACTGGATAAATTCAGAGGGGGTTTTAGTGGGTATGCGACCCGTCAATGTCAAGACAGGTATGAGATAATTTTCAGGCCGAAGCCCTACACTGGTTGAAACAAAAGTGCGTAACGGCATTTCCTCCTGGACAAACTTCCCGGCAGCACTGGTTAACATCCAGTAACACAAGCAGATGACCTTGGGATGCTGAGATTCACTACTCCAAACGCTCCAAAAAAAGAAAGAAAAAAAAGAAATCACCATCATCACCATCATCATCATCATCATCATCATCCTCAACTGGTTGATCAGCTCCTAGGCTCGAACCCAGCAGCAGACGCCAACACTGGAGTTTGTTTACTATTGCTAAGCATGTCTCTGCCTAATTGAGGCACGACCGAAGCTGTCGGCGAAGCGGCTGGAGCAACCGGTAGAGTAATATATTATCCTGATACTTATCCTAGTATGACCGGAAATTGCCGTGGTCGGTTGGAAATTTTTCGCAAAAATGAGAATTCAAACCCTTTGAATCAGATTTTTGAAGCGACAGTCATGTTCTAAATCGTTCTGCAAGATTTCCCAAGTGGTCCTTTTTACTAAAAGTGAAGAAACGAAAGTGTTTCGGCAAAAGGGTTGGAACGCGTTTGGGCCATCATGCCATGTGACAGATCACTGAATGGTGCGCCCCGAAATATGTCGGGCAGCCCCGATGCGGAACGGTCATCTCGGGTGGGTTTCATTTTTCTCAGTATTGGAGGGATTCTCATGAAAACTAATAGAGTGCTCTGGCGAATGAATTCCCCAGAAAACTGCCTCTTCAGAATTCTCATCGAAAGACTTCGATTTTCCACTTTCGCGAAAAATTTCTAAGTCAAAACAACCGACCACGGTACCTCCTACTGCGAGGACGCCACGACCTCACAAGAGGGCCGAAACATGTGCAATACTACCGGCCCGGCTTGCTCTCGACTCTCATCTTTGTTGGTTTAAATGAAGGCAAGTAACTCGGGTGTGGTGCAGGGTGCACATCAGCTACAACTGACACTGGCACTGAGTAATCACCATGTAATACTGAAAACGAGGGGTTCGGCTCTCCACATCCGAATAAGTGGGCAAATTTACGGTTTGCCGAAGAGACTCGGATGAAATCACGAAATGATCTGATGTTTCTCATCGGCGAATTTAAATTTAGGTCTCATTAATTGAAGGGCCATGATATACAGACACCAAATCTCCAGTGCTTTTTCAAGAGGATGGTTGTTGGCGCGTAGCGCAGTTTGCCGGAGAGACTCGGATGAATCACGAAGTGATCTAATGTTTTTCCAGTATATATACACTCCGTGAACACCTGCATACGGGTCTCTCCCAGGGCTTTTTGAGAGAAGGGTTGTCGGCGCAATCTCTGGAATTTCCCGGAGCCTTGATTTGTCCCAAGTGCCGAGTAAAAAGTGTTGCTGTCACGACGCACTCATTAGCGTGCCCTTAATAAAACCCATTCAATCCCCGTTATTCATGTACGCTTAGTCGATGATGTTTAGCGCCCAGGACACATGATCGTCTCTCCGGTACTTTCCGAAGTTGAATGGGAACTTCCGGAGGTTCGCACCAACAACCTTCCTTTTGAAAAGCACTGGAGATTTGGTGTCTGTATATCATGGCCCTTCAATTAATGAGACCTAAATTTAAATTCGCCGATGAGAAACATCAGATCACTTGGTGATTTCATCCGAGTCTCTTCGGCAAACCGTACAAATTGCATCCTTTTTTTTCTTTTTGGTGCTAAAGATATTCCCACTTAACCAACTCCAAATGGTACAGAATACGCCGGATGTAGTGTGCGGTGCACGTCAGCTCTTTATAAAATATTATTCTGCGAATGCGGTGCAGACTGAAGACCGGGCCCACATCCGAATCCGATCGCAGCATTCCCCTTTTTGCCCGTTTCCTCGCTGAAATATCTCCCACTCAACCAGGTTCAAATCAGGGCTATTAACTCGGATGTGGTGCACGGTGCACATCGGCTTCTTGTAAAGTGTTCAACCAATGTGATAGCTGAAGAACGGGGTTCGACTTCCCGCATCCGAATGTGAGCGCGAACATTCCCCCTTTTGCCCGTGTCCTCGCTGAAATAACATCCACTTACCCAACTTCAAATCAGGCTATTAACTCGGATGTGGTGCGCGGTGCACGTCATCTCACAGTATATATTTCTCGATCAACTGAATGCTGCAGAACAGGGCCCTGCATCCGAATGCAGTGGCCGCTGCCTTTTTGTTTTTCGTCCATGCTCCATCCAGGTTCAAATGCAGGGAAATAACTCGGATGTGGTGCATGGTGCACGTCAGCTACCACTAGGGTTGGGTGCAATGAAGTACTGCTGAAGACCGGGGTTCGACTCCCCGCATCTGAATAAGAGGGCTGTTTCGGTTTTTTATGCTTCTTTTGTGCCGAAATATCCCCATTTACCCAGGTTCAAAGGATAAAGAAAAACTCAGATGTGGTGCACGGTGCACATCAGCTTCTCATTTGCCATTCGATCTTCAGTACTGCTGAAGTCCGGGGTTCGACTTCCCGCGTCCGAATAAGATGGCAAGATTTTTGTGTCTTCTCTCCTGAGTTCGCCAAAAATGCTGCTACTTACCCAGGTTTCAATGATAGAAAATATCTCAGATGTGGTGTAGGGTGCACATCAGCTCCTTGTAGATACTGTTTGTCAATAAGTTTAGAGCCGGAAGCCGGGGTTCGACTCCCCGCATCTGAATCGTTTTCTCAAGTGATGTCTTTTGCCATTTGTTTGGGTCATGTCCATGCTAAAATACCGCATTTACCCAGGTTCAGAAGGTATTGAATATCTCGGGTGTGGTGCGCGGCGCACATCAGCTTCACATAAATATTCTTTGCTTTGAAACCTGAGAGGCACTCCCCGCATCCGAATGCCCGAAGAGGTGTTGACTCTTTTCTTATGTCCATGAATGACTACATACCCTATTCCAAATGAAAAGCAAGTATATAGGATGTGGTGCACGGTGCACATCAACTCCCCATGAGGATAGTGTCCAATTAGAGTATGCTACTGAACGCCGGGGTTCGACTCCCCGTGTCCGAATGACTGGCGTCCGTCGTGCTTTTTGGTGCTATTAGTGCTGAAATATCTCCCACTTACCCAGGTTTCAATGATAGAAAATATCTCAGATGTGGTGTAGGGTGCACACCAGCTCCTTATTGCTCGTATGTCAGTAATCTTAGAGCTGAAAGCCGGGGTTCGACTCCCCGCATCTGAATAGCACTCTTATGAGAGGTCTTTTTCCATTTTTTTTGGGTCATGTCCATGCTAAAATACCGCATTTACCCAGGTTCAGAAGGTATTGAATACCTCGGGTGTGGTGTTCAGCGCACATCAGCTATCACTGCTCTGCTTGGACGGCTTGAGTACTGCTGAAAACCGGGGGTTCGACTCCCTGCATTCGAATTCAACGTGTCTGCGTGCTTTTTCGCTGAAATACCACATTTATCCAACTCCATATGAATGGCAATAACTCGGATGTGGTGCACGGCGCACATCGGCGGGCCTATGAGCACCCATTCTATGGCCACCAGGCTGAAAACGGGGTTCGACTCCCCGCATCCGAATATTTGGAATTCGAACAGCTTTCTTCTTCAGAGCTGAAGTATCTCTCACTTCCCCAGCTCCAATTGAATGGTAATAGCTCGGATGTGGTGCACCGTGCACATCAGCGTATTGTCCCCCTGCTTCAGGCTGAAGCCGGGGTTCGACTCCCTGTATCCGAATTTGTCTTTGATTTGTTTGCCTCGCCTTTTTTTTTCGTCCATGTTGAAATACTGCTACTTCCCCAGCTTCACATCAAAGCAAGTAAGTCGGATGTGGTATATGGTGCATATCAGCTTCCAGTTAGGTTACTTTTGCTCTCTTCAAGCTGAACACCCGGGTTTAACTCCCCGCATCCGAATAAAATGGGTGCTTTTTTTTTTTGGCCTGTTTCCTCGGTGAATACTGCTACTTCCCGAGCTTCAAATGGCATTGGATATCTCGGATGCGGTGCACGGGACACCCCAGCTATCACTAAACGGAGCCGATCGCAGTACTGCCGAAGAACGGAACCCCCGCATCCGAATAAAGGTTGGTTTTTATTTCCTTTGTTTTTGTCCACGCTCAAATAATGCCAACTTACCCAGCTTCGAAGGGTATGAAATGTCTCGGATGTGGTGCACGGTGCATATCAGCTTCTCTTCGGTTATGAAATATTATGGCTCTGATACTGGAGACCGGGGTTGGACTCTCCGCATCTGAGCGCTCAAGTAGGTGTCATTTTTTTTCTTGCGCTAATATCTCCCTTTTACCCAACTCCAAAAGAAGGAAGGTAAGTCGGATGTGGTGCACGGTGCACGTCCTAATAGTAATAAGCCGCGCTGCAGGCTGAATTTCGGGGTTCGACTCCCCCAATCCGAATAAATGGAAGCCGTAGGCTTTTTTGTGCTTTTTGTTGCAACCCTGAAATATCTTCCACCTACTGCTCGCCGCGGCCGAAAATAAAATGCTCGAAGGTGGTACTCTCCGCCTTGCCGATTGCACGTACAATGTTCCGACGCATTCATTTTATAAATAGAGTCACAAAAACGTACCCTAAGAAAAACTAAGCTACGGTGCTCCTTGAGGCTGCTAGACCGCACTTGGTCCGCTATTGACGAAAGTGATAGATAGAGGATCAAAGACACTCGGAAGTAGATGTGGTTAAGAAGAATATTAATAGGTGAGTTTGAAGGAGGAAATGAGGACGAGCCTCGATTAAAGCGCTCTGGAATTTGTGTACCACGGGCCGGACACGTCGGGTCAAACCAACATCGCGCCAAGACACGCCAAGTCGTCGAGATTTCGAATCCAGCGCGAACTTTGAGGTAGGAGAAGCGCGGCAAAGCGGGAAGAAAAGTGATGAAAAAATACACGCCAGGTCCGCGGGAAAGCGCACAAGATCGGCGGCCCAGAATTTTTGAATGCCTGATCCCGCGCAGATTTCAAAGGCGGGAAAGGGTGGCAAGTCGAAAAATCGAGTCAGACTTGTACACCTGCGAAGCTGGAAGAAAAAACGGAAATGAAAGAGTTCTTATAGTCGGAAATCTTCGGTCTTACGCTGCCTTTTGAGACCGGAGGCCGCTGAGAGGGGAAGAAATATGTTGAAGTCGCAGGCCGCGAAGCGGGCCAAAAAAAAGAAAAAGGAAAAACGCGCAAAGTCGGCAGAATGGCACGCCAGATCGGTAGAGAGAAGTCCAGAACTTGATTTGAAAGTTGGATTCGACGCGCGAGGCCGCAGGATGGTGAAAAATGAGGTGTGCTCCTTTGAAGCGGGTCTTGGCAGAAGTCGCGGCAAGGCGGGAGATTGAATTGGCATTCGTAGGCGTGGAACTTACGGTTTTGAGCCGATACTGTTGCGGGACTTCTACCACTGTAGTCAGAAACGTTGGAGAAAGCGGCTGCGTCGGTCTCGGGAGAGCGATACCTTTATTTAGAAATGCGTGAGTTGAGAAGCCGCAATAGGTTGCGTCCTTTGGGCAGATCAAGTCAACAGAACAGGAAATGCTTCGTAGGTGGTGGAAAGCCCATAGCTTGAACTGGCATTTCGTGGTGCTAGAGACGCGGTATTGGTATCCAAAACTTGAAAGCCGGAGGGACGGTGTGTGTGCCAAGGGCGGGGCAAGGAGCGCGGGAAGGGTTGGGTGTGGAGGGCGAGCGCGGGCAGAGCGGGTTTGAGTGCGACGTTCCCAGATCAACAAGCTCGCCCAAGGAGGAGGAGATGGACGAGATGGAGTGCGAGGTGTTGGCCACGGTGAACAGCGCCGTCGCGTCGTCGTCCGTGTCCACGCGTGCGCCGCCCCGCCCCGCGAACGCCGCGCCGCAGTGCCGCGGCAGTACGGGGTCCCGGCGGGAGCGGGCGAACGGGAGCAGGCGCCTGCCGAAGGCGCTCTTCTTGGCGCGGCCGCGGGATCGGAGGGACGGCGGAGGTGCGAGCGGCGGGGTCGGCGGCGGTCGGCAGGAGGGCGATGCCGGTGCGCCGGGGGAGGACATGGGGGAAGGAGCAGAAGGGCGAGCGAGCAGCGTGGATAAGAAGAAGCAGGATAAATTGTGAGCCCAGCTAGGTCCCCTTTCGGAACGTGCCGGGTTGTAGTCTACTCGTACATGCGGCCCAACTACGTACTTTCAACTACGCTGATACCCATTTACCTTCGACGAGCTGACCACGTTTAAGGTTGTAGATCTAAGCACCTGGATACCAGCAACAGCACACAGCAGTCTGGGACATTAGAGCATCGGACGACGTGAGGACGCCGGTCGGCGTAACGGCCGAGTCGAAAAGATACGAAACGTTTGCGAAGCAAATTTAGCAATACGGCAAACTGTCTCTTTATTGAAGATAATCTTCTTCAGAACGACCGTTGCATTCTCCTCATTTTGCAAGGTTAACACTGACGGGGCTTTGGCTGAAACAGCGTGGACAAATTTATGCCTGACATCTGCAAGGTTCTCCGACCCTCCGCAGAAGAACAGGGCATGCTCCACAGTCTCAACATCATCGCAGCCAAATCGACATAGACGCAAGTGCCTTTCAACTCTCCAATAATATCGGGAGTTGTAACGCAAGCTCTCGATGGCAAGTCCATGTTGACTAAGGAGTAGTCGTGTCAATGCCCGTCGATGATCAGCGTTCACCACCAATTTCAGATAGTGACGAAGAATGGCAGTAATAGGTCGTGCTGAACCCTCCTCAACAGGTTCGTCTCGTCCATGCAGTAGATACAAACGCGTAGAGCCTATAATGGCAGCTTCCAAACTCGTCATGGCTGAGAAGTAAATCTGCTTACACAAAGACTCGCACGTCTTCGCAGTAAACATCTGTGCATTAGGCACAGTCACAGGAAAAGGCAGAGACTCAAGAGCATAGATGAGATCCATCCAGTAGCCCTCACAATCATTTTGAAATAAATCGAAAGAGTCTGCCAGAGCCAGCCAAGCATAATGAGTTTTCTCGAGGCCCACAACGTAATTGACATAGCGTATGGCCAGGATAAGCCGCCTATATCGCACAGGCAGAAGTCCCATCTCTGTGAACAACGGCGCGCATATGGATGAGGTCCCCAGTCCCAAAATCCTACGCAGATAGGTCTTCTGGACTTTTTCAAGGGCGGAAAGGGCCGCGGCATCGACATCTACAATGATATCTGCCCCACTAATAAGGTGGGGGTCTACACAAGCCATGTAGAGCACGCGCCCCTCCTTTGGAGGTAAGTCTCCAACCCAAGCCTCAATTCCCAGCACAGAAAAGCAGCAGTTGCGCGCCGTTTGGGCCTTAGCAGCGTAATGAGCAGCAAAGATGTTCCTATGATTAGACTGGAAAGTAACCCCCACATAGCAAAATTCATCCTTATATCGTACATTCACTCCGTTCAACAAGAAAGTAGGCAGTTCACGAGGAGCTGAGCCAAAGACCATAATCCAAGACTTCCCGGCATTTGCTTCCAACATATTATCACCACACCAATGTGCGAACGTGTTCAAATGACGCTGCAGTCCAGATGCGGTATACGAAACCACAGCCATATCATCTGCATGTTCCAGATGAGATATCATGAGCCCGAAGATCATAATATCGTCGGGATCCGGATGCAAGTCGAAATCAGCAAAGAACAAGTCCCACAACGTAGGGGATGCAGGATCTCCGATGAGAACTCCAATGTTGGACTGAAAGACCT